CTGCGATCCTCCTTCAGACCCGCCTCTGTTCCCTCCTGCTCCTGGAGCAGGGCCGGCGTGCCCCGGCCCGGCCCCGGGCTATCACACCGTATTTCCTACTGACAGTAACGAGCACACGAATTAAAAAATAGGTGTAACTCAACCCAAAGTACACAAAAGGGGAATGTGCCTGCGTAACCACGTCATGGAACAACGCGAAGGACAGAAAAAGGAAAGGCTGTTCGTGACTTCCACTCGTGGGTTTTTTTCCTTCTGAAGTATTTACAATGATCTTTTCTCCAGGGCGGAATGCAAATGATCATTCATGTGAAATGTTAAATTAGAATCGCTCGAACACAGCACGATTTATTTCCTTTAAAACGCCGTCTTATGAAGCACTGTGGTGAGCAGAGACCCCTTGGCGACCCCGGCATGATTGGCGAGGTGCAGAGCCCATCGCAGCGTCACGTGGGCTTGTCTAGACCCGTGTCACACAGACCGGGGAGTAACGGAGCCGTGTGCGATGGGGAGACACTCCGCTGCCTTCACGGAGGACGCGGTGCTGATCGGGGAGCACCCACGCAGCACACACCGCGCCGTGAAAAGCAGCAGAGCGGAAGCTGGTCCTTCTGGAGAGGGAGCTTCGAGGCCAGGCTCGGCGGGCGGACAGGTGGTCGCACGCACCTTCCCTGGCCAGGCACGCAGACCTTCCCCAGTCAGAGGCGAGCTCTGCTTCTGGGCCAACAGGGACCGAGCGGCGCCCTTCCCAGCATTTGGACACACGTGTCCCCCGTGTGGCGACGTGGGGCAAAAAGCGTGGAGACACGTTCCCGTCTCCAGGGGCCTGGGCGTGTTCATCGCGAGAGCAGATGTTTAGGCTTGCACACAGCACCCAGCCGTAGGGGCGCCTGCCTGGGTGTCCCTTCCTCGCTGAGGCTGCTGTGTGCTGGCTCACGTGTGTGCAAGTGTACATGTGCGTCTTGATGTCTGCAACTTACTTCCACGTGGACTGGCAAGAGGTAGCAGTCCATGGTTCAAAATTCAAAATGGATGAAAGAAATACAGTGAAACCCTCCTCCATACCTCTCCCAGCGCCGGTCCCGTCCCCAGAGACAGGCGCATGAGATTTCCCCAGATCCCTGCCTCAAAAGTCTCGAAGAGTTTACTCATCCTTTTTGTCTGCGTCGTATCCACTGTATGCAGGGACTCCGTTTCTGTAGACATGGCGTTCATTTTCACATTGAAATCTTTAATGTCTATGACATTTACCCTGGTGCGTGCTGTGAAGGCAATAGTCAGGATCAGCAGATGTGCGCTGCAGTAACAAAGAACCCCACGTCCCAGTTGTTGAGGCCAATCAAAGCTAACTCTTGCTCACATTCAGGTTTATTTGGGGTTGGCTGGGGACTCCGGGCCCCTGCTGACAGAACACGCTGGCAGGGACACCGGGGGAATCTCTGTGGCAGGAACCTTGAGCCTCAGGGACTCACCCCTGGCTGCTCAGGGCTTCCTCTTGGAAGGGGGATGCTTATGCTCACATTTCGCGGATGAAAGCAAACCACGTGGTTGGAAGGAGAGGTAGAGTGGAAATTTTTTGAACAGGCCTGACGATTACTACAAAAATGTTGGACCCAACTTTTTAACTCCAGATGGAGACCTTGTGGTCTTGGCTCAATTTAATGACAATTCCACATTTTCTCCACTAATTTGAAATGCCTTCTTTATCAGAATCCAAATTCCATTAGGTATTCGGGACTATTTGCAGATTTTCTATTTTGTTCCGTTGATTAGTCTGTCTATTCTCGTACCATATGGTTTTAGTTATATGTCCTATAATTAATAAATTATAATTTTATCACTTGAATTGGAAATGTTATAATAGGTCTTCATGTCTGGTCAGGCTAGCCCTCCCCACACCTACTTTATTTATTTTTTTTATAGTTTTACTAACCATTCTTGCTTATTTATTTCTTCACGTGGATTTTGGAATCTCACTGAGTCCCCGTTAAACTCAGACCTCAGTGTGGGAAGGACTGAGATCCTCAGGGGCCGAGTCTACCTGTCCGGGTCCCGGGTGCATCTTCCCATTTGTCTGAGTCTCCTTGATGATCCTCAGCAACAGGAGGCACACCCTCCCCACGGCAGCTGGCACATTTCTCAGGTGTGTTCCCGGTCAATCTATCGGTCCTAACCTTTGCCACCATGTGCAAGGGAGCCTTCCTCCCTCCCCCTCCCTCTTCCTCCTCTTCCTCTCCCTTCTGTGTAGTGCAAAAGCTACTGACTTCTCCAACCCCCCTCCCCCCTTTTTGTTTTTAAATATATATATTATTGATTTTTTTACAGAGAGGAAGGGAGAGGGACAGAGTTAGAAACATCGATGAGAGAGAAACATCGATCAGCTGCCTCCTGCACACCCCCCACTGGGGATGTGCCCGCAACCAAGGTACATGCCCTTGACAGGAATCGAACCTGGGACCTTTCAGTCTGCAGACCGACGCTCTATCCACTGAGCCACACCAGTCAGGGCAAGCCCCTGTAGAGTCATTAAACTAGAGGCGGAGGCGCAGAGGACTCAGGATGCGAGGTGAGCTGCTCACAGACGGTCTTCCCCTCACCCACGTTCCCACGCGATGGGCCACAGGACAGTGAGCACTGCAGGGGGGCTTCTGTGGTGGGACACGGCGCTGGCTGACATCACGGGAGACTGTGCTGGAAGCTCCCAGCAGAGGGCGCCTCTGGCGTGGCCCAGGCAGCTAAGGGATTGGAGGCCCCCGGGCCCTGACGCCGGCCCCCAGCTCCCCGCTCTGTCAGTGCACAGCTGAGTCCCGCCAGGGGCGGGTGGGGGGGGGGGTGGTGAGGGGGGTGAGGGGTGTGTGGGGGTGGGGGGGGGAGACGAGGCTGGCAGAGGGCGAGGGGAGCTGAGCCCCCGCTGCATGGGGAGACCTCACCTGGCGTCCCGATGGTCTGAGGCTCTGCAGCAGCCGTTCTCAGCCCGTGGGTCACGACCCCTCTCACAGGGGTCGCCTAAGCCCATCGGAAAACGCAGGTATTTACATTGTTATTCATTAACAGCAGCAAAATCACAGCGATGAAGGAGCAACGAACATAAGGTTATGGTTGGGGGTCACCACCACATGGAGGGCTGGGGGCCGGGAGTCCTGGGCTGTCCCCACAGGAGAGCAGAGGACAGAGGCGGAGGCCGAGGAGAGAGGGAGAAGGCATTGGAAAGGCTGAGAACCACGGCTCTAGATGATAAGACGTAATTTTACAGGTAAAAGCGCGTTAAAAGCCCTGGCAGGTTGGGCTCAGTGCTCCGTGGTGAGGAGGAGGAACAAGGAAACGTGGGCTTCGGGCAGGCCGCGCGGTGAGTGTGTTCACGACGGGAGGGGAGAGGGAGGGTTGGGGGGGTTCGGGGGACCCGGCCCCCAGCCTTTCCTCCCAGCGGGGCTCTGTGTCCGGCTCTGCTGCCCGGGAGCAGCGGCCTCGCTCAGGGACCCTGGTCACCGCGGCCCCGCAGTGCCGGATGGCACTGGGGTGCGTGTGGACCCACTTTCCCCGCCCCCCCATTCCTCCCCCCGGCGCAGGGCCATCAGAGGGGACGCCAAGCCTGGTTTGGGGAGATTTTCTCCAGCAGCCGGCCCGCCCCACATCCTGGACCTGGCAGTGGATCGGGGACCTGACCCGCTGGGTGCCGGCGGCGGGCGCTCCCAGGGCCTCTGGAGGCAATTTCCCTCCGCTCCTGCCCCGCCGCCTGCTCTGCGCCCTCCCCGGGCTGCTCTCCCTCCTGCCCGCCTGCTGCGAGTCTGTGTGCATGTGCATGTGCGTGTGTGCATGCGTGCGTGCGTGAGAGAGAGAGAGAGAGAGAGAGGATGAGCCTGGGTCTGTGCTAACACCTCTCTCCCTCTCTCCTTGACCTCCATGTCTCTGTCCTCTGCTCTCCTGTGGGGACAGCCCAGGACTTCCAGGCCCTCAACCTTCAGCCCGGCCCCGGCAGCCAGCACCCGACTGCCAGCCCCCCGACCTCCAGGCCGCCCTGGCACTGCCTCGGCCCTGAAAGCCGGCTCAGATGTGGTTCTTCCGCTGTCGGAGCCACAGACACCGAAGCAGGAGGTGGGCTCAGTCTCCGTGTGTGGCTGATGTGGAGCGGAGCCCAGCATGGCCCACACGCCTCGTTCAGGACACTGATTCCCCCAAAATGGCCCTACAGCAAGCTTCCTCAGCTCCGCCGGCTCCGCGAGCATGGCCGGACTGCTCAGCCCCGCCTGCCGCCCCCCGCCCTCCCTGGGCCACGGGGCGGCCAGCACCCGCTCCGGGGGCACCGGACCCGCCTCTGCGCCGGGACCTCAGTCCCAGCCAGCTCAGACCTGCGGAGTCCGTGTGATGGCCCTGACCCGTGTGGCTCAGTGGATAGAGCGTCGGCCTGCAGACTGAAGGGTCCCAGGTTCGATTCCGGTCAAGGGCATGTACCTTGGTTGCGGGCACATCCCCAGTTGGGGATGTGCAAGAGGCAGCTGGTCGATGACTCTCTCTCATCGATGTTTCTAGCTCTTTGTCCCTCTCCCTTCCTCTCTGTGAAAAAAAAAAAGAGAGAGATCGGCCGGGGGCCTCTCAGGAGGCCGGCGACCGTGCACACAGCACGCTGGCGCCTCGCCGGTGGCCGCGGGGATGGGAAGGCAGGGTCCGGGCTTTGAACCCCCCGCCCCCCCGATGCCAGCCACGCTGCCCCCGTGAGCGGCCTCGGGTGTGCCTTAGCCCAGCCGCCGCCGCACGAAGGCACAGACAGGCTTCGGTCGGTGAAACCAGCTGAAGGCCACGCACAGTCACACCGGACACTTGTCTCGTTAGGCTGATGCGGGTTCATTTTAAATGATTCAGATGCAGGGTGCCCGGGCACACAGCAGGTGTCCACTCGGGGCCCAGCCTGGCCCCCCTCTCCCCTCCCCCACGGGCCCCCTGAACCCACACACACAGCCAGGAGCTCCTGGCGTGGGTGTCCACTCAGGTGATTGCGTGGCTGCACGAGGCCAGTGCGAGGGGCCCTGAGCCCCCACGGCGTGGAGGCAGCCCCATTGCGCCTCCAGACGGAGAGGGACCCGGCCCCCGGGGGACGCGTGGCCCCGAGGACCCGGATGCCGACCGGTCCCGCACCCCTGGGGTCAGCCAGCCCGTCACCCCAGCGGGTTCACGACCTTCCCCAGCAGCAGCAGGCTCCCGGTGCCCGTGTGGAAGGTCATCAGCAGGAAGGGCCGGTTGAACTCCTCCGTGTCGGGGGCGGGCGAGGGGTCGAGGTCGGGGCGGGGTCCCGGCGTGAGCTGGATGCTGGTGGCGGCAGCCGCCTCTGTGCCCCCCTCGTCCAGCGTCATCGCAGCCTTGTGTGCAACCTGCAAGGAACATTCTGGAATCACCAGCTGACTCCACAGGAGGGATCAACCAGACCTTTATTTATTTATTTTTTTAAATATTTTTATAGATTTCATAGAGGAAGGGAGGTGGAGAGAGAGAGAACCTTCCATGATGAGAAAGAATCACTGGTTGGCTGCCTCCTGCACGTCCCACCCTGGGGATGGAGCCCACAAGCAGGGCCTGTGCCCGGACCGGGAATCGAACCAGGTCCTCCTGGCTCATAGCTGACGCTCAGCCCTGAGCCCCGCCGGCCGGCCGGCTCAGTCTCTTCTCTACACAGCGTATCCCAGGGCCCATGACCGGGAAGGAACCCCCCATCCTGGCTGCCCCCGAGGGCAGGGAGCCTGCGCCCGGCCGGTGCTGTGGGGCGGACGTGCACTAATGGGGTACAGGCAGAGCGCAGATGGCGATGCGCCAGGTTGTGGAAACAGCCGCTCTGCAGCCATGGAGACCCCGCCGTGAACCGGGGCCCAGGTTACCTTGGAGACGTTCAGGCCGGGCTGAACAGCCGCTCCTGGGAGGAGCAGCTCCAGGTGGGCCGTGCTGGCGATGGAGAACTTGGGGAAGTGGAAGTCGAGTTCTCTGCGGAGACAGATGGGCTCGCTGTTGAGACTCCAGAAGCAGCTGCGTGTGTCCCAGGTGCTCTGTATGCTCCAGCCTCGGCCCAACGCAGCTCCAGGTCTGCAGCTTCTCACCCCCCTCCTCTGGTCTCCCTGCCCCTCCAGCCCCTCCTTTCCATCCAACATCTGTCCTGGGCCCTCCGTCCTCCACTCAACATCTGTCCTGGGCCCTCTGTCCCCCATTCAACATCTGTCCTGGGCCCTCTGTCCCCCATTCAACATCTGTCCTGGGCCCTCTGTCCCCCATTCAACATCTGTCCTGGGCCCTCCATCCTCCACTCAACATCTGTCCTGGGCCCTCTGTCCCCCATTCAACATCTGTCCTGCGCCCTCCATCCTCCATTCAACATCTGTTCTCGGGGGGGAGGGGGGGAGGGCCCGGGGGGACAGGGCCCGGGGGGACAGGGCCCTGGGGGACAGTGCCCGGGGGGTCAGGGCTCTGGGGGACAGGGCCTGGGGGACAGGGTCCAGGGGGACAGGGTCCAGGGGGACAGGGCCCGGGGGGTCAGGGCCTGGGGGACAGGGTCCAGGGGGACAGTGCCTGGGGGACAGTGCCCAGGGGGACAGGGTCCAGGGGGACAGGGTCCAGGGGGACAGGGCCCTGGGGGACAGTGCCCGGGGGGACAGTGCCCGGGGGGACAGGGCCCGGGGGGACAGTGCCCGGGGGGACAGGGTCCAGGGGGACAGTGCCCAGGGGGACAGGGTCCAGGGGGACAGGGTCCAGGGGGACAGGGCCCTGGGGGACAGTGCCCGGGGGGACAGTGCCCGGGGGGACAGGGCCCGGGGGGACAGGGCCTGGGAGGACAGTGCCCGGGGGGACAGGGCCTGGGGGGACAGGGCCTGGGGGACAAGGGTCCAGGGGGACAGTGCCCGGGGGGACAGGGCCCGGGGGGACAGGGTCCAGGGGGACAGGGCCAGGGGGACAGGGCCTGGGGGACAGTGCCCGGGGGGACAGGGCCTGGGGGACAGGGCCTGGGGGACAGGGTCCAGGGGGTCAGGACCCGGGGGGTTAGGGCCCGGGGGGACCATCACTGGGGCTGCCCGCTGTGAGCCTGCCTGGCCCGGAGCTGCCGGTCCCACTTGATGAGGGTCTCGGGCAGCAGGGCGTCCTCCAGCTGCGCCAGCGCGCCGGGCCGCGGGAAGACGAAGAAGGTGGAGGCGTTGGCGGCGTGCGCCATCTGCAGCACCGTGCACTGCAGCTCGCGGTCGTGCAGCAGGCGGTGGCGGGCCTTCTGCCGCATCATGGGCACCGGCACGGCCCTGCGCTCGTCCACAAAGAACTCCTTCGGGCCCGTGGCTCTCGGGTCGAAGGGCCGCGCCCATCCGGCTGCGGGGACGAGAGCAGCGGGGTCGCCGTGGAGGAGGGAGGACGGGCCCCGGGTCACCCCGCGGGCAGCCCCCGGGATGGGGGGTGCACAGTGGACGCCAAGCCCCGCTCCCACTGCCCCCGGCCTGTCCCTCATCCCTGTGCCCTCGCTGTGTCTCTGTGAGACGGGGAGCGCTGGCTCAGGGACAGGGACGGACAGAGCCAGAGAGGGAAGGCTGTGTGCTCTCTGGCCTCCTCACCCTCTTTCTGGGTGGTTAATTAAAAAAAATGTTTTAAAGTATACTTTTATTGATTTCAGAGAGAAAGGGGGAGGAAGAGAGAAACATCAGTGATGAGAGAGAATCATTGACCTGCTGCCGCCTGCACACCCCCCACTGTGATCGAGCCCACAACCTGGGCACGTGCCCTTGGCCAGAATCGAACCCGGGCCCCTTCAGTTTGCAGGCCGACGCTCTATCCACTGAGCCAACCGGTTAAGACCAGAGGTGGTGAAGTTTAAAGGGAAAAAAACCAGCATGTGGTGCCAGCTGCTCTAAAACACGTGTGGATCTGAGGGGTCGGCTCGGCCTGGCTGGCAGGCCCAAGGCAAGTCACCTAACCCTGGGCCTCAGTTTCCCCGTCTCTCTAGTGAACAGAATAACATCGCCTGTTGGGCTGTGAGGAGAGTTCAGTAAAATCAAATATGCACAGTGACCGGCATGACAGTATTCGGATTGTTTGTGTGTAATCTTACATACGCCAAACGAGAACTATTCGTAGGCATGTAGTTACGTCATGCCTTAGAGGCTCAGGCCAAATCGCTTCTTCTTTTAACATGAATCCGTCTGATCACGTGTGAAAGGGAAACGTTAGCCACAGCCTGAGCTTCATCTGGGGGAAGGTCACACGGAGACGTGGGTGTGAGTTCCCGGAGACCCACGGAGCACTCACTGTGCACACACGAGGGTCCGGCTCCTCTGCTGAGGGAGTGGGTGATTGAGGAGCGAGCACGTGATCTCATTGCTCTCCCAGCGCCGGGTCCTCCCTGCTCTCACCCATGCCCCCGGACCTGCCGGAGGACCGGGGCTCACTCCCAGTGGAGGTCACCGGCCCCCTGCAGCAGCGTCCCCGCGGGAGGACGGAGACCGTCCTCACGCGCAGGGTCTGGGGTCCCTGACTGACCTGGCCCCGAAATCAGAATCTTCTGGGGACACGTGCAAGACGCCCGCATTGTAAGCGAGCTCCCCAGGGAGGGCGTGTACACTCAGGCTGGAGAAAATCCTTCTTTGAAAAAACCTCAACAAGAAGTATTAAAAGGCGATAGGTGGTGAGCTCCCCGCCGCTGGAGGTATTCAAGCAGAAGCATCGAGGATTCCGTGGACCTCCTATTTGGAAGTCAGCAGGGAGGCTCTGGATGCTGTGAGGAGTGGGGCTGCGGTGCGATTGGGGCCCCGGAGGGAGGGCCAAGGGATGGACCCCCTCTTACCTCTGAGGAGCAGGTGACTCACCAGGACCTCCTTGGTGGCGTCGCTGAGTTCCTCCACCCAGGCGCCAAGCTGCCCCTGGGTCTGCTTCTCCACGTGCTCCCGGATGTCCGTCTGGGCGGCCGCCGGGCCCCGGGCGGCCCCCGGGCCCAGGCCGCGGAACCTGCGCTGGCCCACCGTCAGGAGGAGCGGGGGGCTCTGCACGGGGAGCCTGAGCAGCAGGTCCCGGAAGCCCTCCTGGATCTCGGCCTCGGAAACCAGGCTGAGGTTGAAGCCCAGGCCCTCCAGGGCTGCTGGCGGCAGGGGCCTCGAGGAAGAGCGTGGCCAAGGCCAGGGAGATGCTGGCCGGGGAGAAGAGGACGTTCTCTCCCGGGGCCTCGGAGGCCAGCTGTCTGTAGAGGTTGAAGGCAAAGTCTATGTTGCTCACAGAGAGCTTATGGCAGGGCAGGGCCGGCCCGGGAGGCCCGTCCTGGGGGCCGGGCATGGGCCCAGAGTCCTCCTGGTTGGCCAGGGCCAGGCAATGGCCCACGGCCGTGAGCGCAAGGACAAGCAGCCACCATCGGGGGGCCTTCATCCTCGGAGTCCTTGGTCTGGAAGCAGGGGCGAGGACAACAACAACAAAGGGAATAGTACTCACTGGTATCCAGTGTCTGCTCTGTGCCCACACTTCCCTGGCCTCCCCTCTTCATCCTCACAGCACTACGGGGGAGGCACGGCTCTGACACCCCATGTCACAATGTTCACACCCCATGTCACAGCGTTCACACCCCATGTCATAGTGTTCACACCCCAGGTCACAGTGTTCACACCCTCATGTCACAGTGTTCACACCCCAGGTCACAGTGTTCACACCCCATGTCACAGTGTTCACACCCTCATGTCACAGTGTTCACACCCTCATGTCACAGTGTTCACACCCCCATGTCACAGTGTTCACACCCCATGTCACAGTGTTCACACCCCATGTCACAGTGTTAAAACCCCAAGTCACAATGTTCACACCTTATGTCAGAGTATTCACACCCCAGGTCACAATGTTCACACCCCCATGTCACAGTGCTCCCACCCCAGGTCACAGTGTTCACACCCTATGTCACAGTGTTCACACCCTCATGTCACAGTGTTCACACCCCCATGTCACAGATAAGAAGACAGAGGAAAGGCTAAGTAATTCACCTGAAGTCAAACAGCTGGTAGGTGGTGAAGTCAGGACTTGAACCCAGAGCCTGGTGGGGTGGAGTCACCGTGAGATGTGAGGGACCCCCAAGCAGCATCCCATCTGAACAGAAGCAGCCACACCACCCACTGCCCCCGTGGGCGCCTGGCCCCGAAGGGCACGCAGGGTTCCATTGGTTTGCCCCGAGGGGCAGCACCCAGAGGCTTCAGGCTCAATCCCCTGAACCACGGCAGCCGCTCTGCCCTGTGCGGCCTCCCAGCTCCCCCGCCTCCTGTCCTGCTCACACAGCGCGTCCCCCGGGCACGCTCAGAGCCTCCCGCTGGCCCCTCTTCCCACCAGGATGCGCCCTTGGACTTGCAGAGCGCAGAGGAGGTATGGGGCAGCGGGGCAGTGCAGGGTGCAGGGAGGAGTCCTGCTCGCTCAGCCAGGCGCTGCTGTCCTGTGTACATGTGTGTTCACATATGTGACTGCTTCTGTGTGACTCGTGAGGTGACGTGCGGCAGGTCCACCACGCTGGCTGGGGGCCATGGCTCCGGCTCCAGCCGTCCCCCCCACTCTGGCAGCCCCCACTCACCTGAAACCAAGGTTTTCTGGAGCCTTCAAAAGAGCAGAGGGACCCCGCAGCCGGCGTGGCCTGGGACACCGAAGCCAGTCCTGCGGGAGGGCTGGGCGGGCTGGGGGGCTGGACTAGCAGGCTGTCCCAGGCTGCCCTCAGCCCACGTCACGCGCAGCACACGGGGCAGGAGGCACACTGCCCGCCTGTGTTCGGTCCACACATGGCCAAGCTCGGCGCGGGCGGGGCTGGTGCCAGCAGCTCCGTCCATCGCTGTTTGTGCCTGCCCCGCCCCCAGCCTCGGTTCCTCCCGCCTCTCCCCCTCCCGGGGGCCAGGAGCAACATAGTGCCCCCTGTGGGATGCTGGAGTCCAGGGAGGCTGGGGTCAGGCAGCATCTGCAGCCGCCCAGACACACTGCAGCCACCACCTCCTGCCACGCGGCGTGCCACGGGCCGCAGCCCACGCCACGGGCTGGCCTCCTCGGGGTGTGGGCTCCCACTCTTCCCAATGCCAAGACTGCTGTTCCTTTCACATCGCAGTGCCTCGCTCGAGGGGCGTCTGCGGCCCGGCCACTCAGCGCGGCACAAACACAGTGTTTGCAGAACCTGTCAGCCCACACACCGGCTCCGCCTGGCAGGTGGCGGAGGGACAAAGGTGACGGGGGCGTGGGCTCTGGGTGGGAGCAGGCTTCCTTTCTCCAGGGTTAGCTGATTCTGGCTTTATTTTTCCTCTCCCCACCCCTGCCTGGACCTACACACCCACACAGCCGCTTCTTCTCTAAGTCCTCACCGAGGGTATTTGTCTCGATTGTAGAGAGGCAAGAAGGAAGAGGGAGAGAAAGAGAAATACAGAGAGAACTAGGGGAGAGGAGCACCAGTTGGTTGTCCCCTATACGCACCCCAACCGGAGATCAAACCCCCTGCCTAGGTCTGTGCCCTCACCTAGAATCGAACCCACAACCTGTTTCTGCTGGCAAGCCGCCCGGTCTGGCCACTTGGTCATGACGGCCCCAGGAAACGCCTACCAGTGGCCCTGAGGGGCACCGGCACCTGCAGACCCAGCACCTGGGCACCAGGAGGGACCGTGAGGCCCATCAGGGGCAGGGCCAGCGGGGCGTGGAAGCCAAGGGGCATCCTCCCTGAGGAGTCATGGAGGGAGCGCCCCCTAGAGGGCTGAGTGGGTTCCTCTACTGACATGCAGCCGGGACAGTGAGGGCCAAGAGGGACCAGGTGTGTGTGCCTGTGTGTGTGTGTGTGTGTGTGTGTGCGCGTGTGCACGTCCGCTAGAGCGCTCTGGTGCAGCATTATGGCCAAACTACTCTCAAGCCAGGCGCAGACGAGCCACCAGCTGTGGCAGGGTCCCTCCTTCCCCCTCCTGGTCCGGAGGGAGGTGTGGGTTTCCCGCTCACCCCGCAGCCACTCAGCCTCATGCTCTTCCCCACCCCTGTGCCCTGGGCCTGGAAGCCCCTTCCTGCCCCCAAACTGCAGTCTGTCCTGGTCCCGCGCATTCCTCAGGGACAGCTCGTGGCGCCTCTTCCAGAAAGTCTTCCCGAACCCAGAGGTTCATTCCGTCTCTCTCGGTCTCTGTCTCTCTGTCTTTCCCTCCGGGCTGCTACAGGACTGTGTTCCTCTCAGACCTGTGACAATGGAGTCTCACAGCCCGCCAGGCCCCCGGGGGCGCTGGAGGGCGCGCCCCACAGCCCGGCCCCCGCGCAGCCCCAGAGCCCACCCACCCAAAGGCGCACACAGAAGCTGCTGTGCCACCATGTGCCCCGTCACGTCAGACGGCGCTGGACCTCGGCCTTCCCGTCCCACGGGGAGGGCTCCCGGCCTTGGCCTGGCCGGGTAACCACCAGGCGTGTTTGCCGAAGCAGAGGCAGCAAGTCACAAGGGAGAGGCCCCCCGGCCGGCCAGGAGGCCCGGACCCGGGAAGCCGTCCTGAGCTTGAGTCACAGACGCAGACAAGCTGTCTGGCTGGGGTGAGCCAGCTGCCCTGCCACCAGCCAAGGCATGCCACCTGGGTCCCAGAGCCAGGGCTGGGCCCTGCCGTCAGCTGCGGGCTCCCGGCAGGCACTTCGGCTCCCCTCAGTGAGATGGGCACAAGCCGCTGTGCAGGGCTGTCCAGGGATTACGGAGGTCCATCGCGGATACATAGTGTCCCCTCTGGCTGGTAAGAGGAGGTGCTTAGGACCCTGGGAGATGGTCACAGCCTGGGGTTCCGTCTTGTTAGTTCTCAGGGGCACCCTGTGTGACGCTGTCCGGACCCCGGGTCAGCGTGTGGGCAGCCCCTCGGAGAGCAAGGCCAGGGCATGGGGCATGTCTGCAGGGAGAGTGCGCAGAGCAGGGGCAGAGCTGGGGGCAGGAGGGCAGGGGACGGGGTGAGACTGAGGGAAATACTGGTTTGCTTTTCATCCAGGGCCCTTTAAGGTGGATGGACAGGGAAATGGGTGTGTTCTGTAAGGAGGGTGCCCTGCCTGGGTCACTGGGGGGAGGGGAAAGAGGGGGGCGGGGGGAGCTTGAGGCCAAGGTGGGCTGACTCCGGCCTCTGTTTCCTGCTCACGTCTGCTCCACCGGAGCACAGCGCTCACGTGAGGCCGGCCTGATCAGAGGCTGATCCCGCCTCGCCCCCCAGAGCTGACGGGGAAGCCGCCTGCTCTCCGCCGGCCTCACTGTGCCCGTCTGTGAAATGGGGACAGTACGCCGCTTCGGGGGGGATGTTGTGAAGGGAGGCGCAGCCAGCGCCTGGCACCTCGCCGGACGCGCCGGGAAGGCCACCATTCCCAGAGCCGCCCCCTCAGGACAATGACACCGTGTCTGCAAATGCTTTATTGCTACGGCGGCCCCACGGCCTGCACCCAGGCAGGTGTCTCCCAACGACAGCCCACGCCAGGCCTCCCACTCCCCCGGCCACGCCCCGGGGCGGTGACTTCCTCCCGGGATGGTACGGCCTGGGCGGGCCACGTCCCCCCACGGTCCCCTCGCTTTCTCAAAGGAGCAGGGCTGACATCCGCGGTGACTGGCAGGTGACACCCCAGCCTTTGGACCGATGTCAGGACCCTTCCGTCCTCCACCTGAGCCTTCAGTGCGTCTGCGGAGAAATCGAGTCCGGAGCGGGAAGCATGACCCCACGTCACACAGCCGGCTGGCCAGCCAGGGCCACACTGCCGCCTCCCTCCCAGCCCCCTCCCGCTGTCAGGATGGGGCTCGGCTTGGGCACAGGCTTCCTGGCGGAATGTCTGCTGGAACCGCCATCCTGTGGAGCTGGTGGCTGGGCTGGGAGCCAGGGGTCATCCTGGGCCTCTAACTGCCGTGCTGCCTCGGACGAGTCCATCCAGCTCTGGGGCCTCAGTGGGAATGGCCACTGGTGAGGGGGAGGCGGGACCGGGTGTCCCCCGCGCTGCATGGGGTGCCTGGCCTCGCCGGGCGTGGGAAGAAGCTGTCCTGGCACCGAGTTGGTGCTGCTACTGCTGCTGCTGCTGCTTGCCGAAGCCTCGCCGGTCCCTAAGCGCACGTCTCCTGAGGCCGCACAGACGGACGGCCGCAGAGCGCCCCTCCGCTGGGGGCCGGGCTCAGGGGGAGGGGGCGGGCCCCCCCGCGGGGCGGACCACCTTGCCCAGGAAGAGCACGCCCTCCGGGCTCAGGATCGCCAGCAGGAAGGGCCTGTCGAACACCAGCATCTGGGCGCCCACTCGGGCCGACCGGAACGCGAACACCACGCCCGTGGCCGCGGCTGCTTGGGTCCCCGCCTCGTCCACCTCCGCCACGGCTCTGTGCACCATCTGCCGGAGACAGGGCACCACTCACCGGGCGGGCGGGGCCGGCCCCCGGGCAAAGCCACTGCCGCCCCGGAGTCCCTGACCAAGGCCCCCACAGCCGCGCCCCCGCAGGTGGGAGCGAGGCGATGGCCGGGCGCACAGCCCGCGCGTTTCAGTGAGTTCTCGCGGCCAGGGTGGCCGCTCAGACTTTACAGAGGGAGGGGGCTCAGAGAGGTCAGGGCATCGCTGGAGGCCACACAGCTAAGGAGGGAGGAGTTGCCGCCTGGTTTTGAGTTTTGATGGTTTAATCCAGGGCTCCTTCCCCCAAGGCAGGCTGGGTGTGGCTTCTCATTGCACAGAGGGTATGAGACACTGAGACTGCTTCTTGAAGGAAAAGAGGAGGAAGAAAGAATATGGAATGTGGAGAGGAGTGGGGTGGGGTGGGATGGGATGGGATATGATGGGGCGGAACAAAAGAATAGAATAGAACATAATAGAATAGAAATAGAATAGAATGAATAGAATAGAATAGAATAGAATAGAATAGAATAGAATAGAATAGAAATAATAGGATTAATAGAATAGAATGAATAGAATAGAATAGAATAGGATGAATAGAATAGAATAGACATAATAGAATGAATAGAATAGAATAGAATAGAATAGAGTAGAAATAATAGAACAAGTAGAACAGAACAGAACAGATCAGAAAGAACAGGATGTCTCGAGGCAGGAGCCCAGGCCCGCTCACCTGGGACACCTGGATGCCGGAGTGGTTGGTGAAGCCGGCCAGGTCGGCGTGGGAGGTGAAGAGGTCCCGGATGCCCAGCCTGGGGAGGACCTTCTCCAACTGGTAGGAGCCCTCGATGGAGAACTTGGGAAGGTAGAGCTGGAGCTTCCTAGAGGAGAAGAGAGGAGAGGAGAGGAGAGGAGAAGAGGACCTTTCTAGAGTCTTCCAGAGCACATGGTTGTCGACTCACGTCCCTGCCGTCTCCCCTCAGCTCCACGTGACCCTTGGCCCCCAGTCTAGAGGGGAGTCTGTGCCGCTCTGGACTGGGACTGGGCCGCCCAGGGCTCACTGCCCTCTCCGATGGCACTGCCAGGAAAGCAGCGTCCGGCCCCAACCCCAGCACCTGGGCCAGGCCCCGGGGCCGGGCCGTCCCTGATGCCTCCGGCTCGGAGCGGCTCCTGGGCTGGTGAGTGCTCGGCCCCAGCTTGGCCCAGGGACACGGCCTCCCTGGGCGGGGTGCAGGGCTGGGCTGGCCAGTCCCGTGGGAAATACCTCTTGGTGAGCTTCCTGAGCCACCTGTCCAGGGTGTGCTGGTCCAGGCCGGCCTCCACCTTCTCCATGCGGCCCTCGCCGGGGAGGATGAAGAGGGCAGTGGCGTTGCTGTGGTAGGGCAGCCCCACGACCCTGCAGGAGAGGCTGCGGTCCAGGAGGTAGTCGAACTCGCCCTCGCGCCTCATCATGGGCACCTGCACCGCCGTCTGCGGGGCCACGTGGAAGGCCTGCTGGCGGGTGCTCTGGGGGTCAAAGCGCGTCTCCCACTTAGCTGGAGGCAGATGGGACAGAGACGGGATTCTCAGCGGTGGGGGGGGGGGACACTCGGACAAGAACCCATTCCCCAGAGGTCACCCCCTTTAGAGCCACCAGGGGCTGCTGAGTCCCACGGCCCCTTTGTTATTTGGGGCTGGGGAGGAACTTGCAACCAAGGGACATGCCCCTGACAGGAATCGAACCTGGGACCGTTTGGTCCCGGGCTGACGCTCTATCCACTGAGCCACACTGACGGGGCTGGAGCATGCTTTTCACTGAAGCAGCGGAGCAGAATGGGGAAGTGCAGGTGGAGCCAGGGCCTCACCTCTGAAGAAGATGTAGCTCACCAGGACCATGGCCTCCGAGCTGTCCAGGTCCTTCACCAGGTCCACGATCCTGCCCTCCGTCCGCTGGGCCACGTACGCGTTGATCTGCCTCTGGGCCGCCGCGGGGTCCTCGAAGCGGGTGGGCACGGCGTCGGCCAGGTACAGGGTCCTCAGGGCGCTCAGGACGGCGTCCCGGACACGCACGGCCGGCCGGACGAACAGCGCGCTGCCCAGGCTCAGCTGCAGGTCCCCCCGGGGCCGGCGCAGCCCCTGCAGCCGCCGCTGGAAGCCCCGGTGCAGTGCGGCCTCCTCCTCGGGGCCCCCCCGGGCGCGGAGGCCCAGGCCCTCCAGGATCTGCGCCTTCGTGGCGGCCCGCGCCCCCAGGGAGACCATGGCCAGCGGCATGGCGACGCTCAGCGGGGAGAAGAGGATGTTCTGGCCGGGGCTGGCGGCCACCAAGGCCCTGAAGAGGTCGAAGGTGAAGTTCCTGTGAGCAGGGGTGGCTGTGGCGGCCGTGGCGGCCGTGGCCGTGGCCGTGGCGGCCGTGGCCGGCAGCTCCCTGTCCCTCTTCTTGGTCCAGGAGTGCCGGTGGCGGAGGCTGGCGCCCTGTGGGCTGAGCAGCGCCAGGCAGAGGAGCAGGCAGAGCTGCATGGCGGAGCCTCTGGTGCTGGAGGGAGAGGGAGAGGACGGCTCAGGAGGTGGTGTGGCCCGCGGGCTGCTCAGGGGACAGAGCCGGTGGGCGTGGGGAGGCCGGCTCCCGAGAACCCACAATGAAGAGCCACCTCCCAGAGAAAGGCTGGGGCTCCAGGTTAGTGCCAGTCTGTGACCCAGGAGGTCCCGGTTCGATTCCCGGTCAGGGCATGTGCCCTGGTTGCAGACCTGGTTCCAGTGAGGGGGGTAATCACAGTGATACACAGAATTACAAATGATTGCTCTCATCACTGATATCACTCTCTCTCACTCTCCCGCTCTCTCTTCCTCTCTGACATCAATAAAAATATCTATTTTGGAAAAATGAGTCAAATGCAGGCACAGACCTGAAGCTCGAGGAGTGTGCGCTGTGGGTGTGGCAGCGCCTGGCCAGGGCCACCCCTCCACCCGAGACCCCATTTCCTGGGCTCTGCTGCGGGGTCATTCCCTCCCTCCCTCTCTCTCCCTCTCTCTCTCTCTCCCTCTCTCCCTCCCTCTCTCTCCCTCTCTCCCCTCTCCCCCCCCCTCCCTATCTCTCTCTCGCCTCCTCTCTCCCTCTCTCCCTCCCTCTCTCCCCCCCCCCTCTCTCCTCTCTCTCTCTCTCTCTCTCTCTCCTTTCTCTCCTCTCCCTCTCCCCT